GTTGTGGAGGAGTTCGAACAGCAACAAAATAATCAAGATCTAAAGCGAGAAAAAGACAAATATAGGATAATTGAACACGAGTATATGTGCAATGATGATCTGGACCACTGTCCGTATAGAGACATAGTATAGGCTTATCAGTTAGATTTTCTGTGAGGAGTATGTTATATAATTCTGTTGCATGACGGAGAGGTGAGGAGGGTTGAAATATTGGATCCTTTAATCCTATACGTACTTTGCCAGTATAAAAATCTCCATTAATTGATTCAGGTATATTACATATCATTGTTACGCTTGGTATGATACCCGTTTTAGTATAGTCATAGTCAGCAACTGCAAATGTAGTTTCTCTACTGACTACAACTTTTTTTCCTCTCTCAACTGCAGCAACAGGAAATTCAGGCTCTCTAACTTTACAATGATGCTTATCATCCATAAAAACAAAATTTGTAATTTCTCGAAATTTTACAGCAAATTCTTTCTTATAGCGATATAGTGCAGATACATAATGAGTATCTTGATGGTAAGCACGTAGCTGGCATGTTTGAACCATGAATTTTAAGGGTAGATGACCAGTAAATTGTAAACTACTAAGCCGTGTTGGATTCTTAGGCCAAAACTGTAATCGTAACTATTGTGTGCTAGTGATTGGTGTTCCAGTTGGGCATTCCTTTTCAATTTGATGCAAAAGATCATTCACTGATATTGCGGTCGCAAAGTGCATGATTGGATTATGCCTGCATTCATCTACTGCAGTTACAGCATCAGCTGCTTTTTCTTCAAGAAACTTGGCCGCAACTCCCCAGAAAACCTTATATTTACTAGGTCTTCTGCCATTGTGCTCATGTAAATCAACTGCAATTTCTGGATCTCCGAGGTCTAAAGCAATTTTAATACGTTTATCGATTTTTGTTTGATCAGTAGTCTCAGCTGCAGAGACGTCACCAGTTAACATTCAATAAATTGTCCTAAGTGATGAAGACTTAGCCTTAGGGAGAAGTAAATCACAGGTACGTAGATAGTTTATTCGCATTGCTTGTGTATGATAACGTAGTGCGTCTTCTTGTAATTTATTTATAATTCGTCTATTCTCTTTTATAATCTCTTCTTCATTAGCTTCTTCATCGATTTTTCATATTAAGATTGCGTTAAAAACATTATTTCCTGTATTGAATCAATACTCCCCAATTTTGAAGAAAAATACACGAGATAAATCCTGTATGTAACGCATTTTTTGTCTGTAACAAGAAATGCTTATTAGCTTTATACAATAATAAATTTTAATTGTTATTAAATGGCTTATATTGAAAATTGTTCCTATTATATATACTGTAAACCCTTAAAATTATCTATATCTAGAGATGGACCCATTAAGAAAATTCTACTTGGATTATCCGATTAATTTATTATATATCTCGGGTAACAATACAATAACAATTTTTATCCGGATCCAATCTTTGCCTCTACTATACCTCTTTTATTAATAATTAAGAGTTAGACCCAGGTAAAAATTGCTGCTATATGGTTATCTGAGATATATAGTAAATTACTCAGATAACCTGAGTAATTTAATAATATCTGAGTAGAGATTTTCTCAACGGGTCCAATCTCTATTAATAATTCAATCCAACTCAAAAAAAAAAAAAAAAAAAAAAAAAAGAGAAAAAAAGAAACTCA